GAGCGGAGTGCAGAGGGACCCGGGGGGAGGGGGGAGGGAGAGGGAGGCGGAAACCGAAGGCACAGAGCAACTCGGCTGGGAAAAGAAAATTGGGTAGCCATCCAACGTCCTGGGGTCGCGGGGAGGGAAAAAAGCCAGAAAAGAAACGGGGAAAGAGCTTGGTACCAGCCAAATCCAACCCCCCCGCCCACCCCTTCTGGAAAGATTTGGCCGGGTGTGTGTAGGGGGGTTGGTGGAAGGAAGGGGGGGGGCGTTGGAGGGCTGGCTGGCTGCTGGCGAGGGGGCAGCCCGCCGAGTTACTCACCAGCCTGCTGCTGCTGCTGCTGCTGCTGCTGCTGCTGCTGCTCACCGATCCCTTCGGCGGCGGTGGCGGCTGCCTTTCGTGGGAGACTTTTTTCTTCCAGGGGATCAGGCGACTCCGAGCTGCCGGGGAGACTGCCCGACCCTTCGGCGCCACTGCCAACCTTCAGCGACAGCATATTCATCGCCTGCCGATCACATTATCCTCGCGCAACTCTGCTGGACATGGTCCCTCCGCCGCCGCCGCCGCCTCCTCCTCCTCCTCTTCCCCTCGCCTCCTTTTCTTTCCGCTGGCGCTCTCAAACACGCTCGCTCGCTTTCTTCCTTTCTTTTTTCTTTTTTTTTTTTGCCTTCCTTCCTTCCCTCCCTTTCCCCAACACACCGCACACAAAAGACGGGAGCCAGGAAGGAGGGGTGGGTAGGGAAAATATGCAAGGCGGCGAGAATTGGCTTCCCAGCGCTCGCTTGCTCGCTCGCTCGCCGCCCCCCGCGCCTCTGTCTCTCGCGTCGCTGCTGGAAAAGGAAATGAAGAAGAAGAAGCGGGCGGGCGGGAAGGGGGGGGGGAGAGGAAAAGCAGACCCTTGGCTCGCGCTGCCGCTCAGCTGCTGCTGCTGTGCTGTGCTGGGGATTTTGCTCCTCCGCCCCGCTGGTCGCCCGCCGCCGCCACCGCCGCCGCCTCCTTCCTTCTTCCCACGGCCGCTTTGGCTCTCTCGCTCCTTGCCTTGCGCCTCTGGCTTGCCGGGTTCGGAGAAAAAGGCTGGCCGGGAGCTTCTTAGCAGCCGCTGCTGCCGCCTTGGCTGCCTCAGACGCTCTCGGCTTACCTTCGCTTGTCAGCAGCCAGAGCAGCATCCGGAACCCCAGGGAGAGACCTGCAAAGCATCTTGGGGGATGTAGTCTTTCCTCGGCAAAGGAGGTGTGGAGAGAGAGAGGAGAGACAGAGAGAGAGCGAGAGCAGGAAAGGAGCTCGAGCCGACTTTCGGGGTTTGGACGGGGCGGCGAGGGGGATGCGCGAATTGGCGGGACCAGCCCGGCGCGGCGGCGGCTGTGGAGGCGCTTTGGATGCGGTGCTTCCCGTCCGTCGGGAGTGCGCGCTGGGGAAACGCCATGGTTGTTCCGGGTTCGCAACTGGCCCTAATTGTTAAAAAAAAGAGGGACAGGGAGAGAGAGAGGCTGTAGGATATCGAGGATCCTTGCCAGGTGGAGAAGGCAGACTTAGCTGGAGGTAACTGGGGGAGGGGGGGTCTGGCTTCCCCCTCCTGCCAGCGTTGTGGGCCAAACCAGGGTTTTCCAGGGTTCGGTTTTAAAGAAATGCTCAGCTGTAACTCTCCCCCCCCCTCCACCCTTTCTCTCGTGTCCTTGTTCGGCTTCTTTAAAACTTTCGGCCCCCTCGGAGTTAGCTGTGTGTTTGTTTTAAAGGTACGAGACACTCCTGAGATATCCAGCCCATCGCAGAATACTTCGCGGAGGGGGGGAGTACTTGCTGATCCCCGGGAAGCTTTTCCAAAGACAGAAAGAAAGAAATACTATAGAAGAGAAAAATACCTCTTAGATGATTAAGACACTATGCTGTTTATGTGTGAGCAGTGCCCTCTGATGGTGGGAACCGGGACTGCTCCGCTTCGGGGAATCTCCGAGGCTTGAACCCTCGACTTGCTCTGTAATTCCGCAAGGACGGATCTCTCCCATGCAGGACAAGGGCGCAGATGGTGGCCTGGGGCAGGGATGACATCAAGCAATCCACAGGGTGTGAGCTCAGCCTACTCTTACCTCAGCTAAGCAGTCTCTGCAGGGAGCTTGTAGCCTTCTAAACAAACTGCAGGACACATCTGACCAGAGCTGTGAACAGTAGGGGTGAGCAGCCCCATAAACTCCTTATGACAGCTCCCCCACCAGAGCCACCCAGGATCCTACTGGAAAATTTGAAGGCCAATGGCCAAAAGAACAGCTGTGCAGCTTCCCTGTTTTCCCCTATATAAAACTAAGCAAATAAGGGGGAAAAAGTCCTCTTCAAATCAATGGTCTCCCAGCCAACAGGGTCTGACACCCCCCCCCCCCCGCTTAGCTTTTCAAGAACAGCACACTTCAGAGAGCACGCTTAAAAACGGAAGGAACCTAACATGAAAAATAAATTTATTATGCTCATCTTCAGAATGGAGGTAACCCTTTTGGGAGCTCTTAGAGGAGATCAACCCTGACTGCTCTTTAGAAGGCAGATCCTGAAGATGAAACTCAAATACTTTGGCCACCTAATGAGAAGGAAGGACTCACTGGAGAAGAGCCTCATGCTGGGAAAGATTGAGGGCAAAAGAAGAAGGAGATGGCAGAGAATGAGATGGCTGGATGGAGTCACCGAAGCTGTAGCGTGAACTTAAATGGACTCCAGGGGATGGTAGAGGACAGGAAGGCCTGGAGGAACACTGTCCATAGGGTCACGATAGGTCGGACACAACTTCGCAATTAACAACAACAAGCTGCTAACATGATTTCTTCCAAACAAGAAAAACCTAGTGGTCAAAATGTCCCCTCTTTCATTAAATAGGTATCCATACATCACTACCTGCCGTTATTCATTTTCAGTATCTATCATTCCATAATTGATTTTAAATCATTTTATCATCTGTGCTCTCTTAAATCAGCAATTGTANTCGCCATGGCGCCTCGCCTGCTGGGCTGCAGTCCCGGTTCAGCTCCGACTCCTGCTCGGAGAGAGCCCGCCGCTATTTAGCCTCCCGGGGGTCCCGCTGAGGCGGAGCGTCGCAGTGCCCGAGCGGGGCCGTGGGGAGCGCAGCAGCCTCCATGGGAAGCGCCACGAAGGGAGGCTGCCTCGGGGGCCCCGCCGGGGAAGCCCCCCCCCCGCCTTTGCCGAGGGGCCGCGCGGGGGACGGAGGGCCGCCGCTCACCTGCCAGCCGCCGCCGCCCCCGCGCCTCTTCCGGTCACCCCGCGGCCGCCCGGCTGGCTCCGCCCCCCTCTGTCACGCGGACAAAGCCCTCTGAATATGCATGAGGCGCCTCCGGAGGCCCACAGCGCCCCCTACAGGGCGGTGCTCAGCCGCTCCCGTCCGCCCTTCGGCCGAGGGGCGTCGGCAGAGCTAGAGGGCGCCCTGGGCGGTTGCGGGGCTGCGTCTCGCCCTCCAAGGGAGCCACTCCCGAAGGGCAGAGGCGGGCAGATCCCTCCGGCGGTCCTTCTAGGGCAGTCCAGGATTCCCACGGTGCTCCTCTGCTTCTCAGCAGCCGGATTCATGTTCCTGCAGGCTGGGCTTCCCTTCCTGCTTCTGGGGCCGGGGATGAAGGCCAAGGCAGAGAATCACAGCGATTTCTTCCATTGCCCTGATTTCCAAGAGGCTCCTTCCACCCCGTCCACGGCTGGACCTCTCCCTTTTGGAGCAAAGCCCCAGGTGGGGGGGGGGGCAGATGGCTGGAGGCGGGTGAGGGAGGATTTGTTCAAAGCTCAAGACAGGACTCTGTACTCGGCACAAGGTAGCTTTATTTTTTCTCTCCAGGCCCCCCACCCACCCAGCAGTCTGCTCTGTTCAGGGAGAAACAAGTCCAGGAAGGCCAAGACCCTTTCACAACACCCCCCCCCCC